GGCAATCTCACGATGATTTTTAGGTGTAGTGCGTAAGTTCGAAACCTAGTTATAACCTAAAATACACTCTTTTTTGCTATATTTCTAGCAAATAAGCTACTAAATTTCCGGCTAACGGCCTGGCAACAATATTCTCCTTCTGCGACACTTCACTTACTACTTATCACCCACCACACTCACCTATACTCCATCAACGCGTCTCTATTTGCAGCTATTATCTACCTCGCCGTTGCTATAATGCCAGCAAAAAGAACACGCGTTAATGCTCTAGAAATCGCGACAACTTCGAAGCGCCCTAGAGTCGCAGCGCGTCATCGCGGGACTGCCAGCCAACCTGTGCTAGTCGATACTCGGCCATTCTCACCATCTCCACCTCCTCCACCGCTGTCGCCGCGTCAAGCTCTCGTCGCCGCGCCACAAGCACCAAATTTTGAAGCGACCCTCCGAGAGTCGCGCGCCGAAGAGACAATCATCCCACCACCTGAGGGCAGCGAGCATGCCACTGTTGCAGCTTCAGGAGCAGCTAGCGAGGCTGTCGACGAGGGTTTCGTATGGGTAGAGGACAAATACGACGGCTTTAATTGGAGTCGCTACCCAAAGCACTGCAAGCCGCCCACATCACTTTCGAACCGAGCAAGCTGGGTATACAGCCATGGCTATCGCATCGCCTTGCGCAGCAACGTCGCAAAAGTCACGTGGATCTGCCACTATTGCTATAAGCACAAGTTCACTACTGTTGGCCGTGGCATACATGACGTCTCGCAGTCTCCATCAGCGCCAGCACGTCATCTCGGAGAAGACAAGAAAGGTCATGGCTTGAAGCCTCCAAGTAAGCGCACTACCGTCGCTCCTCGGAAAGAAACTCTCCTCGAACGCGCCCTTCAGAAGGGCTGCTCTCAGGCTGTTGCCAACGAGCTTACCAACTTCAATATACAAGAGTTTAGGCTTGCGGCCGTCACCTGGCTCGTCGAAAACAACCTCCCACTCTCACAATTCGAATCATCGTCTTTTCGCAATATGATACAATTAGCTAGCGTAGAGGCAGAACGAGCCCTGTGGGCATCTTATAACAGCGTCTCACGATACGTTATACGCCTGTACAACTACCTGTTACTAAAGGTTGTCGCAAGCCTTTCAGAATCAATGAGCAAAGTCCATATAAGCTTTGACGGATGGACGACAAAAGGTGGCAAGCGCGGTTACTTAGGTATCGTCGCCCACTACGTTGATAGCTCTGGCGAGCTCAGGGACTTGCCTATTGCGCTCCCACAACTGACAGGTGCCCACACCGGCGAGGCTATGGCTGAGGTCGTGATGGCAATATTCAAGCAGTTCGAAATCACTGTGGGCAAGCTCGGTTACTTCGTCCTCGACAACGCACATAACAACAACACCACGATCAACACTCTCGCCTTGCAGATGGGCTTCAGCGCTACTGAGCGTCGCCTTCGCTGCGGTCCTCATACGCTTAATCTCATTGGCCAGATGCTACTCTGGGGTGAGGAGAAAGAGTCCTACGACAACGAGGAGACTGAGCGCGTGAACGAAGCTGAGAACATGGCTACTTGGCGAGGCGATGGACCATTAGGAGTGCTTCTCGCGGTTATCAACTACATCAAAACACCACAACAGTACGCTCTTTTTGAGAAGTATCAGAAGCTCGCTATTAGGGACCAGCCTGTCAACGCGCCAACAGAACAGCACAAAATCAAGGAGCCCGTCAAGCCAGTTGTTACTCGCTGGAACTCTTACGTTTCGTGTTTTGAGCGCGCTGTTGAGTTGCAATTAGCGGTTAATGGGTACGCCAACTACCATATTCAGAAGATTGAAACTGAAGACGCGTACGCCCGAAGTCGTAACAACAAGCTGCCTGCAGCGCCGGATTGGATGAGGTCTGATGGGATCAATGCCCATGACTGGCAGGTGATTGCTGAGTATATTGATGTGCTCAGGCCACTGAAACAAGCTACAAAACGGCTTGAAGGCCGCGGCAAAAGCGGTGCTTTTGGAGCAATCGCTGAGGTTATTCCAGTATTTGAATACTTACTTGGAGTCTATGAGGACCGCTTGCAAAGCTATGAAGACGTCATTCACGATGAGCATACAGAGTCACCCGAAGACCACCTTGCTATCAACCTCCGCGCTGCCCTAGTTAAAGCCCGCGAGTACTACAACAAGCTCGACCTCTCGCCAGCTTACTATGCTGCTACAATCCTTCATCCTCGCTACAAAAGCTACCTTGACGCAGCGTGGGCGGATAAGCCTGATTGGCTAGAGAGCAGCAACCGCAAGTTTCAACATTTGTGGGCGGAGTACAAAAGCTTACCGAAGCCGCGCTTACGCCCCAAAGTCAGGCACAATGATATAGACGACGCTATCAACAGCTTTATTGAGCCTGCAGGGCTTACGGAGAACGAGGAGGATGAATATGAGGCTTGGAAACGCAGCGAACCGATCGCTAGCGAGGGCGTCGACCCTATAAAATACTGGGTAGGACTCCGCGATCGCTACCCCAGCCTTAGCAAATTTGCTATCGACATGCTATCAATCCCAGGCTCAAGCTGTGAGTGTGAGCGCTTATTCAGCGAGCTGGGTGACCTCCTCGAGCCCCGTCGGCGCAGCATTTCTCCGCAACTTCTAGCAGCAATACAGTGCGATCGACGATGGATAAGAGCTGGATTTGGCAGTGGTGAGGTGCCTGTAAAGGAGGCTATCAGCGATGAGGAGATGGACGCGAAATACGGTGTACATAAGTGGGATATTAACTGAGAAACTCAACACCAAGGTTTCTATATAACTTTCCTAATCGGGACTGAGCCCATCAAGCCGAGCGAGCTGACAGCCCTGTTTCAGCCAATCCGAGCGAGCCGAGCGAGCTGCTGGCCTCCGCTCAATTGGCTGAGCAAGCCAATTGGCTGAGCTCGCTCAGCTTGCTCATTGACATCTGTGCAGAAGGGGTCCCTGAGGCCTACCGAAGTATGACCCAGCTGGAGTATCGTGACACTAGCTATCTTATAATAGCTTATGCCTACTTGTTGTCTAAGGGCCTCTCGTGCCTTTAAATAACACTAATTCTGTATAGCGGGTTAACCTACTCGCACGTTAAAGTAGCGGTTAAGAGGATTAACACGCGATAAGTAGACAAAGTCTTATAGCAAGGCTCTACTAATTAGAATTTGTTGCAAGTACAAGCTTAGGAATAATCGGGATGAAGATCATTGTTTTACTATCTATGAGATGAGAGCTCGTTATATGCGAGCTCTGCTGTGTACTAGTCTACAAAGGGAAGGTGCAAGCTCGGTGTCGGAGCTCCGTCACCGTGCAAGTATGAAATGGAGCTTTGCTGCGACAGAATTAAATATAAAGTGTAAGGGGCTACGCTTAGGGAGCAATCGCACAGGTATACTAGAGTTGTATTCGATAGGGAAGAGAATTATAAGCTATCTCGTGCTGAAGGTTATTCGGGGAGCGGCTCAGAATAACCTTCTACCTATGGACTATGCGGATGGTCTAAGCGTCGTTCGGACTGAGATATCATCGAGGATTCACCAACTGGGCTCTAGCCCATCACACAGGTCCCCGGTGGCTGGCCCACCTGTGGCTGAACCCTGTGGCTGTGGAACATCGTGACACACAAAGTTGACCGAGCTATTACATGACTACAAATAATATAAGTTTTCGCCTACTCTTATACTTTAGTCCCTAGATCCGATTATATGAAACTTTGTAGCAAAGTCATAAGTTGACGTAAGATAAGTATGCCATCCGTGTGGTACCTAGGCCACTGGCTGAAAGCGACGAGTCTTGCGCAGTGATTGAGTACCTAACTACCTACCTACACTCGGTCGCGTCTGCTGCTTTACCACAACTTTAGCAAATTGTTTCGCCGTAACCATTGGTCCTAGACATGTACATCCTGGCTCTCGATGTAGAAGAACAGACCTCAGAAACCCCGACATCGTAGCTGGGATTGCCTCTTCATATCTAGGTACCCAGCTCATTTCATCTCTTCCCACCGGGTCATTGAGGAGATGTATGAACCCTTAGAGAAATATAGAATATGTAGAGCTCCACGTCTGAAACGTATTTTAAAGATCAGTATGGCCGAAAGTGTAACGAGGTGAGGAGAGGAGGAGGACTGCGTTGCATTGTGTAGCTATGAAGGAGGGCAGCTATCTATATATGTGTGTGATAAGAAAGTGTAGTAGCGATAGCCGTACCCAACTCTCACCTAAATTAGTCTTCGCAAGGCCCAAACCGTTACAGAAAGAGAGGTACTAGGTATTGGTGCTTGTGGTCTTTTGCCGTAGGAAGGAGTCAGGATTCTGACTAGTCGGTAAAAGAACGAAAAAGATTTCGACAACGGTGCAGATGCGAGAAACGCTCTTACTTTGGCTGCGAGATAGACCATCGTACTTATCTGAGGTTGATGCGGGTCGGAAGATGGAAGAAAGTGCTTGAGGTAACAAACAGTAAGCCGACGCGGGATGCCCAATTCGGTAAGAACCACAGGGCTAACGCAAACTGACTTAGTACCCAGGATGAGCCGAGGTGGCTCCTTTACCACCTGGACATCTCCTACATACAGTACATGTTCACAGTCTACTCATTGTGTGTGTTGATCAGGACTAGACTGCACAGATTAGTTCGGATTTTGGAACGGAAGATTCATAGACCTCAGCGGCGGCGCTCCCCGCATCTGTAATATGGCGTCAGAATTGCTTAACCGTGTCTGCTCGTAGAATTGGCGAGACTCGAGGGTCAAGCCGTCGGCTGAACATTAGCACCGGCAGATGTCATGTACCTCCGTGATGTCCGGCGTATGTAGAGTACCCCGCGAAAGATCACCTATCGGACCGCGTCAGACATGACCAACAGATGCCCACGTGCTGTCAGAGGTTGACGTTTACAAGCGACGAAAATCATCGGCCAACCATCTGGAATATTCCCATATACATCCCTCTCGCTTTTTTATCACTCTGCGTCGTGTACAGCTCATCATGGTCTCTACGGACATTCCCCATCTTCGACAGTATGGAACAACCAAGCAGCTCATCGTTAATGGCAAACCATACCTCATGCTGGGCGGAGAGCTACAAAACTCATCGCTCTCATCTGCTGAGTACATGAGCGAAGTTTGGCCAAAGATGGTAGCAACAAAGGTTAACACTCTTCTTGGCTCCGTTAGCTGGGAGATGATTGAGCCTGAGGAAGACCGTTTTGACTTCGAAGAGCTGGATAAAGTCATTCTGGGTGCTCGCGAACATGGCTTGCATCTGATTCTATTGTGGTTCGGTTCTTACAAGAATGGTATGCAATAGCCCTGAACTTGACTGGATATTACGCTGACATAGATACCCTTAGGTAGATCTACATACGCTCCATCATGGGTCAAAACTAACCTAAAACGCTTTCCTCGTGCCGAGCTCAGAAAGGCTGGAGGTGTAGTCGAAGTTGCAGACGTCTTGTCTATGTTTCATGGAGAGAGCGTGGAAGCGGACGCCAAAGCGTTCCGAAAGCTACTCGTACACCTGAAAGAAGTCGACGAGAAACATAGCACTGTTCTGATGGTTCAGGTCGAGAACGAAGTCGGTCTTTTGTTCGACAGTCGAGACGGGAGCGCGCAAGCCAACAAGGTATTCACGGAACCTGTACCTAGTGACCTCCTTGAGTTCTTGAGCAAAGACTACGACACACTTCACACGGATCTTAAGAATAATCTGAAAACATTTGTTGCTCGGTCGAAACCACAGTCTGGTACATGGGAAGAAGTTTTCGGATCAAGTAATAAGACGGAAGAACTCTTCATGGCTTACCACTACGCACACTACGTCAATCGTGTAGCAGCAGCTGGCAAGGCCGAATATCCTCTCCCGCTATATACCAATGTGTGGCAGAATTACGTCGGAGAAGATGCTGACAACGACGAGGATACGCCTGTAGTAGTTGGAGGAGGTGGAGAACCAGGCGACTACCCTTCCGGAGGCGCAACAACCAATGTTCTTGATATCTGGCTGCGTTTTGCGCCTGACATCGACTTTATCGCACCAGATGTTTATCTGAATGAATATACGACCCTGTGCGATAAGTACCGACATCGCGATAACATACTCTTCATTCCGGAACAGCGAAGAGACGAATACGGTGCACGGCGAATCTGGATCGCGTACGGAACATTTCAAGCTTTGCTAGCCAGTCCATTTGGCATTGATACCCTGGAGCCAGAGACCAATCCTTTCACCAAGCACTATGGGCTACTAGCAAAGGTTTCTCAGCTCGTCTTGGAGGCACAGCAGAACCCTGGATCCTCTGTTGGGTTCTGTTTCGATGAACTCGTCGGCAGCAAAGACCCTTCGAAACCCATCAAGAAGCGTTTTGGTGACTGGGATCTCACTATTGAGCGGTCCTTCGTTTTTGGAAAGCCAGGCACAGGCAGCGGCATGGTCATTCATCGTGGCGGGGCGCGCTTCCTGCTCATTGGCTGGGGCTTTCAGGTCACAGGTCGATCGACAAAGGCTGATACGAAGTTTAACGGCATTCTCAAGAATGAAGAAAAGGTTGTGGAGGATATGTCGACAGGCAAACTACGAACACTGAGAACGTTGGGTGGCGATGAAACAAGGAGCGGAGCCAGCGCAGTGATGCCTAACGAGGATCCTGATTACGGTGGCTTTCCTATCGCTATAACCATCCCGGCGAAGACGGGTATTGCAGAAGTGGAGTTCTACTCTTTCTGAGAACCTGTCGAGTAGTCAAGAATAAGACAAGCTTAGGTATTTAGTCGTGAAAGGCCAGCGCAATAATTGTACATAGGGTAGAGAATCAGCTGTGATAACGATGCGAAGGTTACATCATCCTACATCAATGTATACGGTATACACAAGGCCAGCACACTTGCAGAGTTGTTTGCCTTGTTTTTTTTTGCTTGCCCCCCGAACCCTGCTGGCTGTGCCGTAACACAGCTTTTCCTCGCGCCCATAACTTCTGCGCTTCCCCCATCATTAACTCATCAATATCTTACCACATCAATCCGAAAATCTTACTCAAACTCACTAAGATGAGCACATTCAACTTTCTCGCGCTTCCAAAGGAGTTACGCTTCGAAATATACTCCTACCTACTGGCAACCCCCACACGCCGCAAAATTAACCATGCTGGCCTTCGCCAGAGTTGTCGCCTCATACAACAAGAGGTAGATCGAGTGTTTTGGAAACCTCACATACGCGAGTTCGAAAAGGAAGGTCAACAACTCCCGCTCAGATTAAGCGCTTTGAGTATGCGAACTCTAGAGATGAGAATCCGACCCGAATATTCGCTGTCCCTGCAAGACCTTCGCTCCCTCCACCTGAGGCTCTTTGAGTTCCTCTGGATCCTGCAAATCGACATTATATACGAACCTTGTCGGCAACAAGGCATTGACGAAATGGTCATCCTCTCAATCTCTCGGTCTGTCACCAAACATCTACAAAGCTTTCCCTCAAAAGCCGTCTCGGATTATTACATAGGCCGCCCTGAATTGATACTGTTGGTAGGCCTTGTACGATCGTACGGGTGAATAACAACAACGAGGTTCTTCTGGTGACTGGTATTGGTATTGATCTTCTACGAACATAGCTGCTACGAAGGTACACCTAAGCTCTGCGCAAGGTGGGCCGAAGTCGGGCCGAAGTGTCAAGCAGCCGACGTCTCTACCG